GGAGACGGCAAAAAGTGACGAACTCTAGTGATATGCCCTAACCCAAACTAAGGTGAATAAACCATAGAGCTCTTGCAGGGCCAACACATGCTTTCCATCTAGTCTATCTTCCAATGAGGAGGTACACAATCAAGGGAGTCAAATGCCGCACAGATTTTTTTTCACTTTTACTTCCTGTTATTGTACATACGAATACACAACTTTCAGGAAGGGAGAAGCGGGCAATCAAAGGGCTACCATTCAAAAAACAATGGGGAAAATCAAGCGGTCTTGGTGGTGAGATTCGAACACATCCCCGAGGTGATAATTTGGTGACGCTACCAGCGGACTACCATCGTAATGATGATTGGTCTCTGAATAGCATATCGGTGCTGTAACAACTGTCGAGGATTTGTTGGATGCATCCATTACCGTTTCCAAACCCAGTCTGCTTCTCTGAAGTTCGCTCTTCATGTGTATTGTACAATCGGTGGCAAACGGCACTGTTGACGTTAGGCTTATGTTTCAGTGGTTTGGGGAGTCATTGCTCGAGTCCCTCTTAAAGGTAGAGACAATAATCGAATATATGCATTTTTTAAATTTCGATATAAGCTCTTATCTAAAACAATTTCAGGCGAACAGGTGTCTTCGGTAACTTACAATCACGCGGCTACACTTTATATAAGAGGATATTACTTAGAGTTTAGGAGGATAACATTAAAGTGAAGGGAATAGATCCCTATTTATCTGTACTAAGCATTTGACCCCCTCCCCCCAGCGATGTGCTCAGAAACGTCTATCCAAGCTCTCTATCTCCCCTGGGTTCGCGAACCTCTGCCCATACATACAAATTTTTACACAATAACACCGATCCTTCAGAACTGAGTCCCATGACCAATGTGATGTAACTGGAAATCCCGGAAGCACAACACTGCGAATGTAGCATGTCACAGACACAGTGATCGAATCCTCACACTTCAATGTTATCCTTCTGACCCTATAATGATTAGTATACTAGGCCTGACCAAGCGGGTCCTTATGTGGTTCGTCACTCCAAGTCCCGAGGCTTGGGTTACCGGTTCCCATCACTGAAAAGCAGGTCTTTGTGGCTGTGGGGCTAAACCACCTCTATTTTTTTTATCACACAAAGGTCTACAAGACCACTTTCGCGGTTCTTTGGTCACTGGTCAGACGTGATCATACTCTCATCATACTTTGTCCCCTTCCCGGTGTCACTCAGAAACCGCTGTCTGCGTTTGCGTGTTATTGTTTCACGTACTCGTAGTTCCGAAGTCGGGTTAATTTGAGGCTATTTCTCTACCCTGGACAGATATCTAGCGTTCAGACCAGGCCAAATTAACACGAGAGGGAATCAGGTTAGATTCATGCAGGCTAATGTGCCCCGTTGAAAAAAACGCGTTTCTTCATTCTCGAAAGTCGTAACGTTCAAATCAATGTTCCAATTCCTTTAGTTGTACACTTCCGGAATTTACATCAGTTACTTCCGATCTATTATTATTATTATTATTCGGTCTGTTCTTCCCCCCGAACCACATCCAATCAACGGATGCTTCATACGCGGCAACGGATGATACGAATCTCCTATAGGATACGACATGGGGTGAATTTAGTCGAATATATATGATTATTTGCATACCACCAACCAGATCACTCTACAATAATCTTTATAAACAAGGGGATCCATGATTTGCTCGGGGGCACGATACTACCAGGCTGCTCAGGCCAAAGCAGGTGGGGAAATTCACAACCGGAGCTTTCGGCTACCCAAGGTCTGACCCGAAGGTCAGCGGGGCGGCTTGGGAAAACCGCAAGCCATTAGGGGCCATTGTCTAGTTCATCTGATCATTCACGCTTTGGACAGCATCAAACGTCCAAGGTGCCCACTACACCTCGGTACCCAATCGAACCGACCACGAAAAGGAAAGCGTGTGCCTGGTTCGTGGTTGGCTTGAAATCAGCGATTTTATGCCCCCTGGATATTAGCTTGTCATTCTCTCACTGTGGTGGGAGAATAGGACTTTCTCAGCTGTTTGAGACGCCTGGTTGTATGGGTGCATCTGATGATGTACGGGAGGGGGATGATCAGCCACAGCCCAAGCCATCCACCTGGACTATATTGAGGCTTTGCGAAACATTGTTACGGATAATGCTAATGATATGTTTTCCGCTGACCTAATACTTTTCTCTATGAAGACTCTGGCTTACAACTTTCCATTGCATCTAACCGACCGATTTTAAGAACCGGTATTAGTGTCCCTTTTCTGTTACAGTTGTGCGAGGAATACACTGCAGCGTGCATCAGTGAAGCACAGATCAAAATAAGTTGTTTTTGCTGTTGTCTGCCGTTCACTCAGTGCAATGGCTTTCCCTTTCCGGGATTCAACTAAGGTGTTCGTCATTCGTGCTATGCGTATTGTGTGTCTGTTCTGCAGCGTGAACGTGTCTGACTCCTGTTTGCCAGTTTGCGTGCATACACATTGTTTGAAATTCATTCGCNCTTCGACTCTTCTTACGTCCACACACGAAGACCAAAGCGACACAACTCATCTGGAATCAAGGCGTACACTGCTCCGTGGTTTTTTCTACTCCTAATAAATCTTTATCAGCATATCCTTAATCTTGTTCGTTTTCGACCAGTGATCACTCGGTCGTAGTTGTTCCATCCTATGGGATGAGATCGCAACTTTACAAAGGCTAGTGACGTGTTTAGTGAGTTATCCGCTGGTGTTTTTCTCCTAAATGACAGATTGGGGAGATGAAACTGCAAATCTGGGTAAAAATCATGCTGTTCAGGAGATGACACAATAACACCGTGATTGTTAGAACACCACTAGGATTCGGAAATTGGGTCTCATTGTTAGCCTGTGTGTGTGTGTGTGCTTGAACGAGCAAACGCTGAAGTGAAAGGGGATCACAGTCTAAACACGTGACCCTAGCTTATGGTAAAGTTTCCTCCCACCCCACCTCCATTTCATCTGTTGACCTCCCGTTGGTGAATCAATCAACAATTTGGTTTTTCGGGGGCTTATGGGCGTGACTGGGTGTGGCTTTTCTCCCACCAGTTTATTCTGTCTTTCCCCTTTGTCTGTTGATTGGTGAAAGTCGATCGGATTATATTCACATCCGGCCATGTTAGTCACTTGCTCTTGCTACCCTGAGGCCTTTTACCCATGTATGTTTTGATAAGTCATAGTGTGAAATCGAAATTTTATACGCGTTGAATTGAAACCCCTCAGTACAGGTAATCGTATTTTTTAAAATTTTAATTTAGATATACAATCACTATTCCGAACTAGGCCCGCGACCAAACAAGAATCCAGAAATGTATTTTCCCGTATTTCTTGTAAAAAATTGATTTAAATGTCTCCGGTAGGTTTCTAGAGCCTTCTAGTAAGAGTAACAGCGCCTGTGACCAGGCGCCGCAAGACAAAAACGGTTGAGGGACCGAATCGACAAGCTCCGCAGAACGAAATCTGTGCTGACGTCGGTAGAAACGCAACAATTGTACGGTAACAGTCAAGTGGTTAAAGAGTGGATTTTAGGGACGGATCGGCGACTGGGCGAATGATTGGAAGCTGATCCCAGTCCTTATGTGCCAAGGAGAATTGGGGAGTCTCCACCCAGGGCATGTTTACAGTGCTCCATGGTGGAACGAATTAGGACTTTCTGAAGAATAGGAAGTTGAAAAGGGTGCGTTTCGCTTGAAACAGACAAGAAACCTTTAATTGACATTTACTTCACAATTACGTGTGAGTAGTATATTGTGGTATGAGGATACTGACTTAAACTAACCATCCTTCAGACTGCATCTTGGCACACAGTTCTCGGTCCATACAGTTGTTAAGCGCTAGATTTGAGTTCCTCTCTGCTTAGAGCTCATACAATTAGTTAGAAGTTCAATTCTGACATGGGACGCTAGGTGTGTACTACTAATGAGCTCTAACTTGAACAAAACTCGAATCTAGTGCTTCCCGAGTGTACGGTTGACCAATTGAACTGGAGATTGTTTGGTTAGATGGAGTCTAAACAATGGCCAGTCCAGTGAACAATCTGTTGTGTTCGGTAATATGACGCGATCAAGAGAGAATAATTACTGACGAAATAGTACTCAGAAAGATGTGGAACGAAATGAACAAGAGTCGAAGTATGCAGATTCCGCGCGTAAGAATCATGTTTGTGAAACACCTGCATTCTTCACACAATCGGGTTTAAGTGGCGATAAAGATTGCTTGATCTTCCGTGCCCAGTTCATTGTTAATGCTCAGGTCGAATCGGTTGAAGCAGAAGCTGACGAAGCGATCGTAATTTCTGGTGATCGAGGAAGCATGAGAAGTGTGGTAAGAAAAAGAAAACAGTGTCTAATGGCACCGTAGGCGAAGTGAGCATGAATGAGCTTAAGTGTTTGAGATAAAACGTTTTTGATTATGAGATGGAAGAATGTGGGTGATTGCACAGAACGTTATGGGATGCCATATGTCGGTGGTATTGTCCTCGGAGCGATACGGTTCTCCATTAATTTAGGGTCTCTAGTTGCCACAAAACGCTTGGAAATTCCATAATGAATAGCAGAATGCCTAATAATACTCGAAAACAACTGTTAGACGGTACTGGGTGGTGGGAGTCTACTCGTAGGTCGATTGTCCGAATACCACCGCCACCACTGTACTGTCAAATTTTATTTCATCCTGTCAGTCCTCTGATTAATCGCTTCCCCTTCCGAACCATCGATTGTACAAAACAAAGGTAATGAGAATAATAATCCTTTGTTTTTTGCACCTCAGGTTGCTGCTCTTATCAATCGCATACGGTCAATCTAGTGATAATCTGAATAAAGTCCACTGTTTAATTCACGNTAATTCACGAAAATTATGCTATGCCACTTGACTCGCGAATTGTTAACCAGGTTTAGTCGGTCGATAGCACAACCTTGTCCATTGTGTGTGAACTTCACACTGTCCGCTTTCTTCACACTGTGCTCATTTTACAAACAGCTGTTCCCAATGGAAATCGTGCCGCACCCAACTGGGACATCTCCAGGTAGTTTCAATTGGAAGTCTGGTTAGTGGACTTGCAACTGTTATAAAAACAAACTGACACGTGTCCGGTGAAGGTGATCTGCGATGCGTAGTGAATGCGTGGAAGATGAGGGTGGGTATAATTACAACGTCCGGTATGAATGTATACGATCCGGAAGTCTATTTGTGTTCGAACAGTCAGCACATTACTTTTGGCATTTCGGTTATTCCGAATCTACACTCCACTGCATGCGTATTCAATCATTCTCTTCCTCTCTCTCTCTCAAATGCAACTGCGTGTTATCAATCCAACGAACTGCTTCACAGCTGCACTCGGCATTTCATTATCTCTCGTTCATTCTCACAATCAGCACCATGTCCAATATTACCTGATTTTGCTTGACTATCTCACCTTCTCACGCCCATCCCTACCATCTCTCCCCTTATGTTTCAACTATTTCAGGCGGTCGCGTCAAAAGCTGGAAGCGACGTTGGTTCGTATTGACCGAGGACAGCCTGATCTACTACCTCACACCAGATGTACGTTTCCACTTAGTTCCATGTGTCACTAATTTTCTGACAGCTGGTTCGGTAACTATTTATTTCCACGTTGAGGTGGGGGATAGACGGTTGCTTCCCTTGAGGACTGCATGTTGTTATTCTACTTTCTTCGTTAATATGGCTACTACTGTTCCCACGGATCACTTTTCGTCACTGTTCTTCATGTGTGATAGCCCCGTTTGTGTTGTGCTTTCCTTCACCAATATCTGGTTGAATGAATCAGAACAGTTCATGCACAGGAAAGTTGAGAGAGATTGGCACATTCTTGCTCTGGATGCCCGATCATAATCAGCATCAGTGCGTGCGCTAACGCTTGTTTACCGTATCCGCGTTTCCGGTTCTAACTCAACGGGATCCCCTTTGTTTTGCTCAGTTCTACCTGTTATCGGTCGGGTCACGTTATTCGAATCGTGACAATGGGCACCCCTGTCATGTTGTTCCATTGGGATAAGGGTCTCACTGCTGCGACCGTATCACGCACACACACACACACACACAGGTCAACCGTGAACTTGCGTTTTCTCAACTGGTTTCTGTTGTGCCCCAGTGTGCGGCGGTATGCCCGTTTGGGGGGGAACTCTGCACATTCATCATTTATGCATTGCACATCTCAGTTTATCAAAGCAATTCACCATTCCGTGCACTCATGCGTGTGTGAGATAGAAAGTTATAGATGCGAAATGTTGGTTTTCGAACTCGCATTCCTGCCCGGGAGTGCATTAGAACCCGCGTCGTGTTCCGTATTCGGAAATTAGGTCTTTCAAACGCGAATAAACCGCATCGGTTGAAATTATGCGGTCACTCTGGGAAGCCGATAGGTTTTCCCGTAGAAATCGCGCAATGTGTTCAGTACTTTTTCCAACCTGTTCATAGACGTGAGTCAACACTGACTGTGCATCACCATCAGTTTCTTAGGACAGGATACGGCGTTCAATGAGATCATCTTTTTAATGTGACAGTTTTAATGAACAGTAGACGGAGTAAACCCCATCGTCACGAGGACCTGCTGTTCAGTGACGGAAACCGGTAACCTAACCCCCAAGACTTCGAATGGCCCCTCTAGTCTAGGCTTGGTATTGAACTGGACGACAGCAAAGCTGCCTACCATCAAAGTTGGGTGGTGGTGGCAGTGGCGGGGCTCGAACCTCGGATCATAGGGTCCGAAGCGGCTCAACCACTGCGCCAATGGGAAACGTCGGCGTGTCCGTTTTTTTTACAGGGAATTACCAGATGGGGATTACAAGGTAGCAGTGTTACCGCATGGTCTCTGATAGACCATTTGTTCAGTCAGTTCAGTTTGTGCAATTATTAACCATGCGCTTTCTTGCGCCGGTTATGGTTGCTGTCTTATGGCTGCCCATTTGGATGAACATGAGGAGAAAGACAGGAAGGAAAGGTTGAAAGTAGGATTAAAGAAAAAATTTAGAATTTCAATAAACTAGTTTTGCAGAGAAAGTAACAAGATGCTCCAACGCCACTGTTTACGACACTCATCCATATCACTCAGTGTCTCTAACCATCAAGTACGACCATCCCGAGGTCCCCATCCAGGGAGCCTAACGGGACCTATGTGACCCAGACTCCTGGTCAGGGTTTTCATACACTCATTCCAGGTCTTAGCTTGACCACTGTTGACTTTCTTCCACCCACTTGCCTTGGTGAACACCGCTCGCCGCGGCAACCTATTTGGTGACATGCGCAACACACATCCCAACCAACGTAATTTATGGAGGTCGATCNGGCGACCGCGATTGCCTAAAACTCTGCGCCTAACCTCAGCATTGCTCGTCCGGCTGCCCCACCAGACTCGTGCAATGCGACGTAGACAGCGGTGTCCAAGCGCCGACAGTCTGTCTTTATCCTGTTTTCTTAATGACCAAGTCTCTACACCGTAAAGCAGAACTGGCCGAACTGCTGCAGCATATACCCGATACTTCACGGACGGTCGGATGTCACGACAGCGCCACAGATGTCTCAAGTTGACAAATGCCAACTGAGCCTTCTGTATGTGAGCTGACACTTCATCNGCTGCCCAGATAACAAAACTTATCCACCTGCTCTAATACTTCCCCAGTTACAGTGAGGCTCGGTGCTGGACCAACCCAGTCTTGTAGTAACATTTTACAGTTTGAAGGTACAAAACGCATACTGAACCTGGTTACACTAGCACTCAAACTTTCCAGAAAAGCTTGCACTTCACCTGGATCTTCACTTAGTAACACGATGTCGTCTGCATACTCTAGATCAGACAGTCTACCACCTGGGAGTAAATCGAAACCGCGATCCTCGCACGAGGATAGAGCTGTTTCCATAATCAGATCTTCAACAAAGTTGAATAGAAATGCAGAGAGGGCAACCCTGACGAGCATCACTTTCTTTAATGAACTCGGGTGAAAAAGTGCTGTAAGCTCGGACTCCGTTTCGGCTATGAGTATAGATGGATTGTAATAGTGAAATAAAGTTCCCGGGCACACCCTTCCGGGAAAGGCAGCGACAGAGTTAAGGGCGGTCGACTGAGTCAGAAGCTGTTTTCAACTGGAGGAAGACATAGAGGATGCGTCTACCAAAGGAATATCGGTGCTTCAGAGTTTTGCGAAGAGTGAAGATGTGGTCGATACAACCTCGATCAGGTCTAAAGCCGGCCTGGTTCTCACGCGTGCACTCTTCATGTGCGGCAGACAATCGACGGAGTATGATATCAGCGAGAAGTTTAGAAGAGATGTTAATTAAACTAATTTCTCTATGGTTTTCACAAGAGCACCTGTCACCTTTCTTGTAAATCGGTATGATGACCGATTCACACCATTCAGCTGAAACCTATTCCCTCTCCCACACTGAGCCCAGGAGCTTTGTTAACTCCGAAACTAAGATTGAACCTCCATCCCTAAAAGCCAATGTGGACAACCCTCTCTGGGCTAGATAACTTTTTTCCCGGGAAACCTCCATTTCAGATGGAGGGACTGACATTGCTGATGGTGAATCAGTGTGCCATTCGATTCCTTAATTACTTCACCCCTATTTTCCTAGGGCCAGTATTCCTTATTGGACAGACACATTGTGACCAGTACCAATAGCCGCAACTTTTTCCATCTCTTTACACTTTCCTATCCGTCGTTTGTGTTTTGAGCTCTCGGCAGGGTCCGTCGTTTTTATCGATATCTGCATAGCTTCTTTGTTTGTCGTCCAGTGTTCATTGAGTCCTTCGGCTGGTGGTTGAGGTGGTAGGCGATCGGAGAGTTCCGCTTGGAAGTCGGATTTGAAACAAAATAGAAAACCTTTTTCCGATCTATCTAGCTCTTCCTCTCAATCCCGATAAATCATTGAAGGGGTCCTTCATTATTCATTATTCAATAGTTATGAATTCAAGGCAATTGGGACCTGTATCCTTGTTAATTAGACAAGTTTCGGTGATCATTACACCAAAAATTCTAATTCAATTCGAATAGCTGTTAAGGGGAGACATTTTGTTTAGGCTAGGTCAGGCTGATTCAGACACACGACCTTTGGCCGAAACAATAGCTATTGATTACCGGTTGACAAAGACAATAACCGTCACAATGCCTGTCTTCGAGATCCATCGTCCATAATTGGAAATCAAGACTGTATTGGACAGTGGCGCTAATTGTTTTATCCCCTTTCTTCATCCTTCTTCTCTGACCTTTGTAGAATACTCCAACTTGTTCTATTGTTTTTTGGTTCGCGGAAGAAGAAATAGAATAAAAACAGACCCTCTGAATTCGAGGTAAAACTGTCTAACGCGTATCCTGGGCTTTGAAATCCCGACTCAGGTTCCCAATGCAGGATGGAAAATTTGTTTTCAATTCGTGACTGAGTTGCGCAATCAAACCTCCTTCTCTTAGTTCACCTTTTGATGTCGGTTCCCTCACTGTCCGTGCGGTACTGTGTACTAAACCGCGACTCCATATGATGTAAACACAATATTGGAAATATTCCATCTGTTTACCTGCCGTCTCGTCCCTATACCCAAGTGGACCACTTCAACCACCCCCACGGTTACCGATTCGTTTTGGAATAGGAGTTTGAATTGACTGATCCTAATGGGACTATGAAGAACACGTGATTTTTCTTGTTGTTGTTCATTTTCGCATGTGAAACTCGATCCGGATTGCATAGCTATCATTCGACACAGTGGCTTTGCTCCGGTCCCTCAACCAAAGCTGTGTAACCTTGGTCAGAGTGCGCTTCGGTTTCTGTGTGTGCCGAGGGAGAGAGGGTCGTTCTCCTTGGGTGGGGATCGATCTCAGGTGAATTCGGACTATAATGATCTACCCAGTAATCCAAACCACATGGTTCAGTGTATTGAGAATGAGGCGGAAATGAGAGTGAAAGAGTACCAGTTGCGCTTTCACTGGGTGTGGAGTGGTGATACGGGCACAGGCTCTGGAACAAACTGTTTCCACCTGTTTATGGCCATTTTGGTGTTACGATGTCAACTGTTACAGGCCCGGCAATATAGCGTTGGCAACCTTGCGTGTGTGTGTGTGTGTGTGTGTGTGCGTGCGTGCGTGCGTGCGAAACGGTCTTGTTAACAGCGTGGGTGAAATGGTTCATTTGTATCCAGAATCCTGGAGACCGAAACCTGAACCGACAGATTAAAATCATGTGAGTAATGGGGGATTTGATTAAATTTCAAAGGGAAATTCGTCGTGTATACGGCAAATGAAACGTGAACTAAAAGGCTAGGCAGCACTGGACAGCTGTTTCGACCTGTTTGGGTCTCATCAGCAGTGCAAATTCATCGATCCAACTGGGAATCGAACCCGGGATCTCACAGGTAGAACGCAAGCTTGTTGCCTACTTGTCCACCGGGCTGATCAGACCGCTTTTAATTTTCCATTTACATGATATATCACAACCCATCTTTGCGAGCTTTTTGCAGGTTACAGATCTCGCTCACCTCAGTACTAGCCTCCAGGGTTATGACTCGGTTAGATTCACACTACTGATGAGACCCAACCAGGTCGAAACAGCTGTCCAGTGCTTCCTAGCTTTACAGTTCACGCTCCATTTGCCAGATACACAACGAATTTCTCCTTTGAGATTAAAATTACGCTGATATAATGACTTCGCTCACTGCATTGGCCCTTTGGAAAGAACAGTCACGCCTTATTTCTCTACCTATCTCCTCTCCCCTCCCTTGATCAATTACAGCGCTCACGTCATTGCAAAGGCGTGATCCCATTGGATGGTCTAAACATTCGTATTACTCAGGATCGAACCAAGGAGCATACATTTGAATTGTATTCCAGTCGAAACGAACTAATCAAGGCAAGCAAAGCGGATCGCGAGGGCACTTCCACTCCGGGTGAGCGACTTCCCCAAAGTTCCAACACCCAACCGTTGCTCAGTTCACTTCACTTTTATCTTCTGTGATTGTTTTTTTTCTTATGACCGAGGTTGCCTTTTAATTGCGTTCATTTTTTTCGGTGAGCTTTATATGAAAGTGTCGTTTCCACCTCATTCTCTGCAAATCCTCTTCCCTTGTACAAGCACAACAGGCCACTCGTAAATTATTGTCCTGATCCCGCGATCCCACGGTAATAAAAGACGCACCGACACGAATAGGCCCGTGCTAATCAGTTCGGAAGAGATAGTTGTCGTAGTGAGTCTGTAATTTCACAAGACATTGAACTTTAGAAACACACATACAGAAAGTCTGAGCCAGTTGTCGCCCTGCTTGCCTGCATGTTCCCCGTTCCTGCTTGTTCATCGGATCGCTTATCTATGGACCACCTCTATGTGTGCCATCCACCATAAACGTACTGCTTAATTCACTATGTGCTCATCTACCTATTTAATCAGTTTCAGTTTTTAAAACTATTAACCATACGCTGTCATGCGTCGGTTTTGGTTACTGTCTTTTAGCCACCCATTTGGATAAAAGAACAGAATGAATATTGTGATATTGAGAGTAAATTCAAGCAGAAGATAGAAAATTCATATAGACTTCGGTCGCAAGAATAATGAGTAGATGCATGAACGTCATTGCTTGCTACATCCAGCCATATCACTCAGTGTCTCCAAGCATTGTTGACCATGATCTCGGGGACCCCACCCAGGGAGCCAAATGGGACCTATGTGATGCAGTCTGCTGGTTAGGGGTTTCATCCCTTCATGCTTGGTCTTCTTAACGGACACAACAGATTGATTCAATGTTTATCTTACCGTGAACATAATCGTCATGAACATCATAAGTTAAGGTTATCAATGGTCGTCTTAACGGGCTAGAAATTCCCACTGTCCTATTATCCCCTCCAAAACTAAAATACTACCCTCAGCGTTAGCCAAACTTGCCACATCCGCCGTGATCGAACTGAACTTGGCTGACTTTTTATCCAGCTTCAGATAATATAAATTAATTCCAGACTTTTGTTCACGTCATTCCAACTACTGAACTGCATCATGTAATGCACAGATTTGTTAGTCATTCAACTCTGAAAAATCGTTGATTGCATGATTTCATCCTGTGCCGGAATCATCCGCGATGCGTACCGGTCGAATGCACCTAGGAATTGAAGCCAGTCACTAAGTTTTGTTTATCCCATGCACATGAGGCTCTCTGGATCAGGTCCGAGATACCGTGGCATATAACGCCCGTTTATCGATCTATCCGTTGATTCGGTTGGTACTCACCATCTATCAAACAATTATGAACTGTTTCCTACACTTTCTCCGTAGTTTTTTTGAAGTCTAAATGACCGGTTCTCTTGATTCATGAACTTTTCTCTCTTCACGCGAATTCACACGCAATCTTTCCCGTGTATTGTTCAACTCTAATTGGTTATACGTTTAGCGGATCCAAAAGATTGGTGAAAAAAATCTGTGAGAATTTTTCTATACTATGCTAATCTCGTTTGCCCGTTTGAAACGAGACTTGTGCATTTTCCCTCTCACATGTGGTTGTTCATTCACCCTGTTTCGGAAAGGACTTCTTCATGAGATCTGTGAGTTTGAGGATTCATTTGAGCAGAACAGAACTGTTTTCGCTAACATTTCATGCATAGCAAATCACAAACACACACACACGTGCCTGATGTGTAAACTCGAAATCATGTGTGTTTGTGTGTGTTAGGTTATTTCACCTGTTTAGTTAACCTTTTGCTTTCGTTCTCTCCTATTTTGCGTTTTGCTCTCATGTTTTTTTTTCTGGCGAGTTGTGCGTTGTGCATGGCTAGCGCGATATCGCCTTTCTCACAACCGCCCGCCGCGCGCACGCATTGTTTCTCATCGAGTTCGTTTTCATTAGTTTCATTGCTGGATCAATTAGTTTGTGTTTTCCTCTATCTAGCGACCCCGAGCTCCATATCGGTTATTCGAATCAACAGTGATTCAACCCATATATATATATATATAT